AGCAGTGCCGCTCACCCGACTAACCAAGAAGTCGGTGGTTTTTCGTTGGGGGCCTGAGCAGCAGGCGGCGTTCGAGACTCTCAGGCAGAGATTGTGCGAGGCTCCGATCCTTACCTTGCCAGAGGGAGTAGAGGATTTCGTAGTCTATTGTGATGCTTCGATCACAGGTATGGGAGCAGTATTGATGCAGCGAGGCCATGTGGTAGCTTATGCCTCGAGACAGTTGAAGCCTCACGAGGCTAATTATCCTACCCACGATTGGAGCTGGGGGCAGTTGTATTTGCCCTCAAGATTTGGAGACATTACCTTTATGGGGTCCGCTGTACTATATACACGGATCACAAGAGTTTGCGATATCTTATGGATCAGCCGAGTTTGAACATGAGGCAGAGGAGATGGTTGGACGTGCTGAAGGACTATGACTGTGAGATCCTTTATCATCCAGGGAAGGCCAATGTGGTGGCCGACGCCCTGAGCCGCAAGGTGTCGACGGCCCCTATCAGAGATCTGTGTATGAGGATGACAGTGATCACTCCGTTGTTGGAGCGGATCAAGGAGGCTCAGATGGAGGGCCTCAAGGAGGAGAGGCAGAAGTGTGAGAGGATAGTGGGCCGAGTAGCTTCATTTGATTACGACAGTCGGGGTTTGTTGACGCTTCATGGTAGGGTGTGGGTACCGTACTGGGGTGGGGTACGGCAAGTATTGATGGACGAGGCTCATAAGTCTCGATTTTCTATCCACCCAGGAGCGACGAAGATGTATCGAGATCTTCGACCTGATTATTGGTGGCCCTGCATGAAGCGGGACGTCGCTTGGTATGTTGAGAGATGTTTGACCTGCCGGAAGGTCAAGGCGGAGCACCAGAGACCTCACGGCAAGATGCAGCCGTTAGACATTCCCGTGTGGAAATGGGAGGATATCACCATGGATTTTGTCACCAAACTCCCCAGGACCGCACGTGGAGTGGACTCGATATGGGTAGTAGTGGATCGGTTGACGAAGAGTGCCATTTTATTCCGATTCAGGAGAGTATATCGGCGGAAAAGTTAGCCGATATCTATGTGCGGGAGATTGTGGCACGTCATGGAGTGCCGGTATCGGTGGTGTCGGACCGAGATGTTCGTTTCACGTCCAGATTCTGGAAGCGGTTCCACGACGAGATGGGTACTCGTCTCCATTTCAGCACCGCTTTCCACCCTCAGACTGACGGGCAGAGCGAGAGGACGATTCAGACTCTTGAGGACATGCTTAGGGCATGTGTTCTAGATTTTGGGGGCAGTTGGGATACGTATCTTCCGTTAGCGGAATTCTCGTATAACAACAGTTATCATGCGAGCATTGATCGACCTCCTTTTGAGATGTTATATGGCAGGAAGTGCAGGACCCCGATTTGTTGGGGCGAGGTCGGTCAGCGAGTCATAGGGAGCACCGAAGTGGTGCTCAAGACGACTGAGTTGATCCAGCAGGTCCGTAGTAGGCTGCAGACTGCGCAGAGTCGGCAGAAGAGCTACGCCGACAGGAGGCGTTCGGACTTGGAGTTCCAGGTGGGAGATATGGTTCTTCTGAAAGTCTCACCTTGGAAAGGTGTCATCAGGTTCCGGAAGAGGGGCAAATTGGGCCCCAGATTTATTGGTCCTTTCAGGGTTTTGGCCCGGGTGGGTCGGGTTGCTTATCGATTGGATCTTCCCGAGGAGCTTAGTCAGATACACAACACCTTCCACGTGTCGCAGTTAAGGAAGTGTTTGGTGGATGAGACAGCAGTCGTTCCCCTAGAGGACATTCAGGTTGATAGCGGCCTGAATTATATTGAGAGGCCGGTCGCGATTCTGGAACGGAAGATCAAGACCTTGAGGAACAAGGTAATTCAGCTAGTGAAGGTGCAGTGGCAGCACCGGAAGGGGTCTGAATGGACGTGGGAGGCTGAGGAGGAGATGAGAGCGCACTACCCGGAGATATTTGCAGATCCAGCCGAAGCAGACTTCGAGGACGAAGTCTGAGACAAGTGGGGGAGAATTGTAACGACCCGTTCCCGGTATGTTAATTCATTGGTAATTGTTGTAAGTTTTGCAAGAGGGACTCGGCGAGTTCATAGCCTGACTCGCCGAGTAGGGTCGCGACTTCGAGCACGCGTGAGCCGGGGACTCGGCGAGTCCATATCCCTGACTCGGCGAGTCCATCCGTCTGGGTGAAACCCTAAATCCCCGGGTTGCCCACTATTTAAGTCACCTTATAGCCCCATTCTCGCCTCCCTCACCCTGAGAACACTGTGAGAAAAACCCTAATCCACCTTGAGAGCTTATAAGTGTTTTTGTGCCATTTTGTGAAGGTGTGAAGAAGGAGAAGAAGAAAGGAGCAAGGAGAAGAGTTGTAGTGCAAAGATCCAAGGGCAAATCTGAGTTATTTGAGGTATTTTCGGATTTCCCCTCTTGTTATATGCTTTAAACCTCCATTAGAGCTCTCCTAGATCTAGTTGATGCTTGTTCCAAGCCTTATGTTTGCATGAATGCCTTAATAAGTCGAGATATCTTTAGATCTGAATGATTGGGTGTTGTAGAGCCCAGATCTACTGCCTTTTTGGAGTTACTTTGCATATTAACCATAGATCTACCCATTTTGTGCATCTTTTAGCCTTATTTCCCTTATTCATGAGGTTGTACACGTAAAGTTGGAAACTTTACGTGGTAAATCAGCTTATTGGACTCAGATCTATCAATTGTATGTGTTGGATTCAAACAAAATCGAGTAAAAATCAGTTGCATGGCGGCAACTCGGCGAGTCGGGAAGAACGACTCGGCGAGTTGGGTCGCGAGTTCCCGATTCCTTCATTTTTATCAGTGTCGAGTGGATCCAGTGAGTTAGAGAGTGGACTCAGCGAGTTGAGGGTAGACTCAGTGATGGAGGGACTCGGCGAGTTGTTCATACAACTCGGCGAGTCCAAGGCAATCTTCTTAAGATCAAGAACAACTCGTCGAGTTTGTTCATACGGCTCGGCGAGTCGGATGAAGATTGTCTGAGTTCTTGGATCAAGTGGGTACTCGTCGAGTCGATGCCACACTCGACGAGTAGCAGCGTGTAGAACTGAGAAGTGAGAGTAGGACTCGGCGAGTTGGGCGGCCCAACTCGGCGAGTCAGCCCAAAAGAGAGTTGACTTTGACCAAGGGTAAAAGAGTCATTTTACCCCAAGCGCAGTGTTTAGTATTTGATTGAGTGTGTTTATGGACTTGTAGCCGAGGAGATTCAGGAGCAGCAGCCGTTAGCTTCCCGAGCCACACACTCAGCAGCCAGCTTACGAGGTGAGTTTCCTTCCAGTAGGAACGGGTCTAAGGCCACAATGCCGGCCCGTTCAGTTAGCAGTAGTTTCCGGATTTAGGTCCGATGCAGTAGCTAGTATGTTTGATGCCTTCGTGGCTCGAACAGGATTTGTGTGCTATGTTTTATGCGTTAAGTGTTATGTGTTCCGGGCTACGGCCCGATGTAGTATGCCGTATATGTGTTCATGCTAGTTGATGTGTTATGCTATGCCATGTTCAGTCAGTCAGTTCCGGACTTCGGTCCGATGCAGGGGACAAGGTCCCAGTCGGTTCCGGACTTCGGTCCGATGCAGTTAGTTCCGGACTTCGGTCCGATGCAGGGGACAGGGTCTCAGTCAGTTCCGGACTTCGGTCCGATGCAGTTAGTTCCGGACTTCGGTCCGATGCAGGGGACAAGGTCCCAGTCAGTTCCGGACTTCGGTCCGATGCAGTTTCCGGGCTTCGGCCCGATGCAGTGGGCGAGGCCCAATATGTGTTTATATGTTATTTTATGGTATGTGGTATTTTGGGGGAGCTCACTAAGCTTCGTGCTTACAGTTTCAGTTTTGGTTTCAGGTACTTCCGCAAGCAAAGGGAAGAGCTCGGGGTGATAGCATCGCACACACCACAGCTTAGCTTTTATCCTGGGGATGGTTTTAGTTGTTTTGGATTTGATATAGTATGATACAGTTTTCCGCACAGTATTTTATTATGATTTGGGATACATCGCGTATGTTTTTTTATGTTATGATACTCATATTATGGTTTTGATTATAGTGAAAAACGAAAATTTTGGGTCGTTTCAGTTTTCCCAATAGATTTTACTTTTCTATTACATTTATGAATAAGAACATGTTTCTATGATTTAGTAGGTTATGTTATCTTAAAACACTTTCATTATTTTTAACGTTTTGTTTTATTCAATGATGAATAATAGCAATGCCAAATTTGGTAATCTTAACAGATTAATGATATTATCTGTCATATACTATTCAAGCAACACTCATAGTTTATTGTATGCTGTTAGTAGTATATCTTAATAACAAATGTTTGTACGATTGACTTTTAAAACACCTATACATCATATATTGATTTACGTTTGCGTTTGGGTAAATTTTAGTCATAAGTTTAACCATGGTCGACTTTAAACCCTTAAGTATAGTCAATAATGAATAACATCATAAATACATTAAATATTTTCAACATATTGATGATATGAAAATTGTTAAATACTCTTCTGTTTAAGTTAAAACAATTTGCATTTAAAGTATAATATGTTATGAATAATTCAAGTAAGTGTTTATGCTATTATTCAATATTTAAATAACAACATACTTTAAGATATAAACCCAACAACAATCATTATATAATATAGATATATTTACTTTAATTATTAAAAATTATGATTGTATGGTCATAGTAACATAGCATATTAACAAATGTTTGTTAGTACGAATCATTCCTGAATATACACTAAAACTATACCATCAATGTTAATCATCATTTTTTAACATAACTTAATTTTTCAAATGTTAATGTAAAATTATAACTACTAAAATATTACTAGTCCATTACTAAAATGAGCAAACCAAAAGTAACTATTGTACGTTCAGCAACCCAAGTTAATATCCTTAGCATACAAAAGCATTGTTTTTAAACTATCCAAAAGAAACCATTGAAGTCATAACTAAAATAACTTTTTTAACATAATTAACTTAAATCATCCAATCTCCTGTGAATTTCTTCCTTTGCAATGGCCAACAGTTGAGAACGTTGTTTTGAAGGAATCTTGTGGAATTCATTAACCTTTCGCAGCACATAATCCTTTTGCACATTATATTCATGAGTGATGATTTTGTATAAATACTTTGTCCTCAGTTTAACAAGTTGATCATCTTGTGAAGAAGACTCGTTCTTGAATCCAACTTTAAACTCATTCATACTTCCACCCATATATGTTTCCATGTGACGCATCGTAAACATACCACAATCAATGATGTTGTTTATTGTTCTCCAAGGCATTTCCAATCTATGTGGCATCACATGCGAAAACATCTCAACTTTTGGATGATTATGAGATTTTAAGTAATCAACTATGTACTCTTTATGAAAATGTAAAAAACATTGTCAACACATATGAAATTTTATTAACTATCTAAAGTAATTTTTATTAATCACTTACAATGATTTGGGGCAATTGACCATATCTCTCACCATCAGGATCATCAACTTTACTATTGTCAATGATTACAAACTTTGGGTGTTGTAGATTGATCACAAAAAGGAAAATGTGGAAGGAACGAATGATTGGTAGGAAAAGCTGCAACGTTTATTCATTACAATTGTATTCACTTTATTTAATATTCATATTTGATCAATGATAAATACACACGTAAGTAAACTGTGGAGATATATCTCTTACCAATCCAACAAAACGTAGGCTTGCGTCCATATCTTCAATAGAAAGCACCAAATTCTCAATGAATTTATCTTTACATTGACTTTCTGTTAAATCACTTTCAAGATACGAATTCTGTGATCGATTTTTAAAAACTCATTAACTTTTTTATATGTTGTATTTAAAAAATAGTATAATCAACATTGAACAATATTAAACTATACCGTCACATCTGTCTTGCAATAAACTCTCAGAGGTGATTCAGGTGCACGCTTACTTTCATCAAGATTCAACACTTGACTCCAACAATCAATGACATGGCCAAATAGTTCACATGTTGGAAAAAAAACTTTCCATGTGAAACCTCTGAGCAGAAAAAATCATCCAAAGTGTGGAAAACTATATCACTGCAAAAGTCGTGAACAATTAATACTATTTTTAATAAGCAACCAACAAAATTAAGTAATTTTAAAAATATTTTAAATGCAACTTACTTTGGCTCTCCCTTGAGAGAGAATATCCATTCTGCTACACGTTTTTCCTGCCGTGGAACTCCTTTGATGATATCAACAGCCCGTATAATGTAAGGAGATTTCAGATATTCGGATTTCATGTGAGGCATGTAACCTCTTCTACTAACCCAATGTTCATCATTGTTGAATGGTACTACAGACAAAGGAATTGGCATTTCCATTTTAGATGGTGGTGTATTCTTAAAAGATTTTGTTCCAGATCTATTCGCGAAGTCTGCATATTCCTGTGACATTTGAATACTACATTTTGCTATCGGGGAGTTGTCAAACTGTTTGTTAGTTGTAGCTAGAATTAGCGTACGTTCAATTTCAGCCTCGTTATCATACCACCATTGAGATTGTTCTGGTTCCTCTGATGCGGAAACTTCACTAAACAAATCATTTACTTTGTTTTTCCATTCTTTGACCAATTGATTATCAGGATATTTCTTGACAGCATCATTTATTTTGTCTTCCAACACTTTCTTTTGCTGCAATATCATGTCGTACATCTCCTTTATTGTTGAAATAGTTGTCTAATTAGGTCACCACAATAGAATTACGTTACAAACCAAATAAAAACATTAATATGTCAGTTAGTATTAATTAATACTATAGTAACTCATTATTCAAATGTGAATAGGTAGTAAACTACCTCAACACTTTCCCCACTTCCACTAAAAATATCATCTCCTTGATTTCCCTATGAAAAGTAACACAATATTAGTTGTTGTACTAATAACTAATTATTTAGTAATGATTATATTATATTACTACCTTACACCTTACACCTCCTGCATCATTTCCCTGTCAATAATGTATGAATGTAATTAATTTACATTATACCAAAATAACAAATAATAAATTTCATATGCATTATTCAATACAATAAAATATTACCTGAACTTTTTCTTGCCCTACATTACCAGTTCCCGATGCTTCATTGATGACTTGAAATGGATCTTGCAATTCACCCATACCCAAACCAATTGTCCTACAATCTACTCTTTTTCGCTTACGTAGTTTATCAACATTCCAACAACATATTGCTGGTCTGCATCGTACAATCTTCACTGAATCGCACCGAACACTTTCTACGTATAGCAACTACAACAAAGACAAATAAAAAATGTATTACTTAAATACACTTTAATGAATCTGCACACATAAGGCTACAAATATTGAATGGCAGCTTAATTTAAAACAAATCTTACCAGCAGTAATATAATTGGCCCAACATAGAATCCTTTTTTGTTGTTTGGATTCCATGCACTTTTTGTCCCTTTAAGGTAATCAAAAACATATACACACCAATAAATGTCACTTAGATCCAGGTCTTTCGTCACTTTTGATAACATCGACAGGTCACATGTTCCTATGCTCATCGACTGACCTAGTGTATTACACAACAGGACAAAGATGATTACTTTAAACATTAAATCTGCACGTGTTGATTGCATAATAACTTGTTGAACTGCCCTTGGTCTAATATTATCTTCATCTTCGAATTGTTTTATCCAAACAGTTATCGTGTCGTCTGTGACTTTTCTATAAGGCATGGACTTTATTGTAACATGTCCCAAAGGCAGACCCAACATTTCGTGAATAACTTGCCGATTGATTGGTATCTCTCCATGATGAAGTTTGAGTACCATCCTATTTGCATTAAAACTCCTGACAATATAATGCCCCATAATTGATGCACACCCATCCACTTTCATATTCAACAAATGCCCCAGACCAATAGAAGAAATATAAGCTTCTTGTTCCTTGCTAAGGTTATGCATACAACTGTACAAAACATTTGGAGATGTCCGTACTTGTATTCGCCTTGATTCTTCTGCATCACTTGCTACAACTTTAGGCAGTTTTCTTGCCTTCACTACATTTCCTTCTTTATTCCTTTGTCTTTTAAATTCCTTCACATTTTCTTTGTCATCATCTGTGAATGAAGTACGCTGCCTTCTCTTTTTCCTTGTTACCACAGGTTTGTCATCTTCAAAACCAGAGTCTTCATCTTCATCAAGCTTCTTGACAGTAACATTATCTTTTCCTGTTAAGACATATTTAACACAATAAATGATTATAAATAAATTACCAAACCAATACTATACTAAATTTATTAAAAAAAAACACTACCTGAAAATGAGTTTATAACAACAACTTCATCACCTTTTATTTTACATCTATCAAAACGTCTTTTTGTTCTCAATTCATTTTCCCTGTTTAGTCCACTATCTTCTGTCATGTCATAACTTTCAATCAAACCTGCCAATAATTAGACAACATAATCATAACTGAAGATACTTTAATATACAAGTTACATTACATGAAATCATCAGTCATACATTTTTTTTTTCTGTATATTTTTTTAGCTTTTGAAAACCTTGAATTTCCTCCATCAAACCTCTTCACATTGACTTTGGATTTCATGTTCTTTTTTATTAATAAATACAAAACAACACAAGTTATTAAAACTAACTACAACATCAAACTCTAAATAAATTTATTTCTAAACAAGTACATTACTTGAATCTGAGCTCAAAACTACAACTTTAAGATCCCTTCGCATTGAATGAGCTGGTGTGCATTTAACACGTTCCCCCACACCTGTCCAAAAAATAAGACACATAATCACTATAGATTCCAATTGATATTTAACATTTTAAATTTCATATAATCATCATCACCACCAATTTGTTTTTTAGTTTTCTTCTTAGGTGTTGAACACTTATTTTGTCCTTCTCTTCTAATATGAGGGTGTACTAGTTCGTTTCCTTCATTGTCTTCATCTTCAACATCAATAAGCAATGGATTGGATTCTTCATTAGTGAATTTGCTGAATGCCGTCTTTAGTAATATCCTCTCGCTTTTCTTTCTACCTAATAGTAGAACTAAAACACCTTAATCATTTATAACTCAAAATTGAATCATTAACAACTCAAATAATCATAAATTATACCTACTAAACACAAACACAATTAAACACATACCAAAAAACAGAGGAATGTTTACAATAATCATCAATAAACAAACAGTGTAATTAACTTACTCAAATAAAACAGTTGGGACTCCTACACCATTATTCTTTACATACAAAATCATGTACATAATCAAAACCACATACATACTCAATAAAGTACCCATTCACAACTGAATATGACTTTAACAATATACAAAACATACAACCAACAACAAGGATTAATACTAGAAAAGTACTTCTGTCCCAAAAACAATCGGATTTTACAAGTAACCATTAGTAATGAATGACATTTATACCCTTTGTTATTATTTTTCTACTAAACACCATTCACAATCGTATACTAACATCAATTACTCCTCTTGTCCCCAAAATCAGAGGAATGTTTACAATAATCATCAATAAACAAACAGTGTAAATAACTTACTCACATAAAACAGTAGGGACTCCTACACCATTATTCTTTACATAGAAAATCATGTACAAGATCAAAACCACATACATACTCAATAAATTACCCATTCACAACTGAATATGACTTTGACAATATACATAATATACAACCAACAACAAGGATTAATACTAGAAAAGTACTTCTGTCGCACAAACAATCGGATTTTACAAGTAATCGTTAGTAATGAATGACATTTATATCCTTCGTTATTATTTTTCCACTAAACACCATTCACAATCGAATACTAACATCAATTACTCCTCTTGTCCTACTTATAATGTATTTATTTTGCCATTGATCAACAATAAGACTCTTAAAACAAAAGTAAAAAAAAGCCCTAATTTTTGGGTTTATGTAACCTTACTTCAGTTCAAAGTAGTCAACTACGATTACACATTTATACGCATCTTAGAACTTTCAAACACAATCATAAACTATTGATTTTTACACACATTCAATATCAGAACACCGTAACTTCGAAACTCATCTATAATTACCATTTTCATTTAAACATTCAAATACACCAATGTGTTATTTGTAAAACACAACATTTAAATCAACAATCATCAAAGATGAAGAATCACTACAGTTCATAATCGATGATATAAAGAAAAAATGAAAAACCCAACCTCTAGGGTTTTAAGAATCGGTAAAATGTACACATTAACAAAAAATAAACACACTAATACACCCGTTTTCCACTCAATCGACATTCAAAAAAGATTAGAAAGCTTACTTCTTCCACTTCGGTTGATCAACGACGACATTCCTCCACCTTCAACGCTTCACGGAGTTCTCAATGCAAAATACCTCTTCATGGATGAACAATATTAATCGACTTTCGTATAATCGTTTAGCTGTGACGCTATTTTTCATTCAAGATATGATCGAATCATCCAAAAGATTGGAAGTTAGCTGTGATTACTAAAACATAGGAACGGTTTCTTTTAATTTCCAAACTTACCCGATATATTCAAATTGGATGACATCATAAAATTACTTGAATACCCTTTTTTATTTTTTTTTAATTAAAAAAACAATTAAATTCATTTATTATTTTCTTTAAATTAATGATCAATGACATCCTTAGATTATAAATATTTAATGTATCAGATTTGTTATCGTGTTCTCAACCTTTTAGGTGTTCTCATTTGATCATTTCCATATATATATATATATATATATATATATATATATATATATATATATATATATATATATATATATATATATATATATATATATATATATATATGACATTAATAAATTAAGGGTGTCATTTTAACAATTTAGAAATAAATGTTTTACAAAAGGACAATTTATTTATATGTTTTACAAAAGGACAATTTATTTATTTTTGTAGGTTATTTTTTTAAACGAAGAATATAATTTTTTTAGAAAATTTGAAGGATAAATGTTATTATGCTGTATAAAAGATGGGCCAATGATAGTGGACAGAAGCCCAAATACACCGAAGCGTGTCAACATTTCGTATCAAAAATAGGCCTCAACCCTTACCCTTATATACCAAGCATCAATTCAGATCATCCCTCTCGCAAACCCTAGCCGCGCCTTGCAGATTAGTGTTCTCAGCAGCAATCAACAATGGTATTATTCCATGTTCTGATAATCTCGTTAGATTTACTAATGCTTTTCTACAATTCTGTAATGAAATATTTTGCTGTTTGTAGGCGGAAGTGGAGGTTGATGTCGCAGCTGCCGGAGTGCCCAAGAAGAGGACGTTCAAGAAGTTCAGTTTCAGGGGAGTTGATCTCGACGCTCTCCTTGACATGTCTACCGATGAGCTTGTCAAGCTCTTCACTGCTCGTGCTCGCAGAAGGTGCATATCCATTCTTCATATTTTAAGCCACAATCTTACTATCTACTCCAATTACGATCCATTTTGTTTATTTTTTTTTTCGCGTTTTGATAGGTTTCAGAGAGGTTTGAAGAGGAAGCCGATGGCTTTGATCAAGAAGCTTCGCAAGGCTGTAAGTTCTGCTCCTTGACATCAATTTTTAGGGCTTTTGTTGATAGATGCTAATGTCGAACATTCAAATCTGAATTGTGAACAGAAACGGGAGGCGCCAGCTGGTGAGAAGCCTGAGTTGGTGAAGACTCACCTGAGGAACATGATCATTGTTCCAGAGATGATCGGAAGCGTTGTCGGAGTTTACAACGGGAAGACATTCAATCAGATTGAAATTAAGCCGGAGATGATTGGTCATTACCTTGCTGAGTTTTCAATTTCATACAAGCCAGTTAAGCATGGAAGACCCGGTATTGGTGCTACACACTCTTCCAGGTTTATTCCATTGAAATGAAGCAGTAAGTTGGTTTCTTTACATCACCTTAGTAATTTGATTTTTGTTATGATGTATTTAGACCTTTTAAACCAAATGTTGCATCTAGAATCATCATCATCATCTACTTTTTGAATGAATTTGAGGTATCATTGTTTGAGTTTTGCTTGCTATGATGTTTACATTTAAGTTTGAGTACTTCGTTGATTTTGATTGTGCTATTTTATTTTATAGGTGATTTTAGATTTCATTTTGTGGTTTTATTGGTAGGCCTATATAGATTGTGCTATGACAATGCCTTCTGTTGCATAGAACAACATGTTCTTTAAGACCATGTTCGTTAATCTTTTTTAGCAACTCCTCCATGTTTTTTTGAAAATACAAAGTTTGTTTATTTTAATCTAGTCATATTCATTGTTGTTTTTTCCATTATTTTAAATATTTCGTCGTAGTGTTTGAAGATTTAAAACGTTGCGTTGCTTTTTTCGGGTTTTATTTCTCAAAGAAACATTTTCAAGAAGTTACAAAAGATGATTCTGAACATAAGGATTTGTGTTAATGATGGGTGAATGTGATTGTGGGAAAAAACCCATCAAATAAATATAAATTTTATTTTCAAAGAAGGTTTACATTTATTATTTGCTTAGTGAAGTTAGTGCAAGGCATTGCATTGTAATTATTCACAGTGATATCAGTCATGAGCTTCCTGAATAAGATGGCATTATATACAAAAATTCAGTTAGGTTGATATAAAATCGAAATTGATGTAGAAGATAAATAAATTTTAAACCCTATTGGATAAAAATACTCTTCAAGAAAAAGAGAACAACAACTAAAATCGATATGCTTGAACTAAACATAGGTTCAATTATATATTTATATGATGGATGTGAAAGGGCGTTGTCCATGTGTTAAAGGATAATTAAATGGACGGACAATTATTAATAAATAAGGTGCATGGTTAAAAATGAGAAATCAAGGGTATGTTTTGATTGTGGAAGACTTTAATACTTAAAAAACTTATGTTTTCTAACAAAATATTTTTATAAAGATAGAGCCAAACATATTTTATAACATTCTACTTTAGTTAGAAAATGTTTTTTAAGGAGACTTCTATTTTCTAACAAAGTATTTGGACAAAATTGCAAAAATGGTCCACGTGGTATGTATTTTTTTGGGGTTTTAGTCCAAACCACGATTTTTTTGGATTGACGGTCTTTTTGAGCTAGTTTCGTTGGGTTTTTGGTGCTTGTACATAACTTCCGTTAAAAAGAATTCGATAACCCCCTTATGTGCCTTCCATGTGAGAGTATTTTCGTTATTTTACTTTTAGGGTCCATTTTTGAACACTTTCTTCTACCTTTTATCCCTCATTTACAATCCCAAACAACTATCATCTCCCCACCTCCCTCCTCCTTCCTTCTTCTCCATTAAACCTGCAAAAAAACATCGTCGAATATGGAGAAGCACCGGTGGTTAAACCAATCGAACATCACTCGACAAACAAACGACTCAAACGCGTAGCATTTATGGTTCATTTCGCTGTAAAAACATCTGGTTGGATTGCGTCGGTGGTGGCGTCGATATACCAATCGACGATTTCCATTTCTCCGATCAAAAATCTCACGAAACTTCTAATCGATTTCGTTGTTTGACGAAGAGCAGAGGGAAAATCGTTTAAGGTAAACGGATGATGACACGATAATGGCCCACTCGAGTTTATTCTTCTCTCGATCGATTTGTTTTCTCTGTTATCTTTGTTTAATTTCTCTTTCAAAAAGATGATCTTTGAATCCTTGAGTTTTTTTTTTTTTTTTTTTTTTTTTTTTTTTTTTTTGACTAACTTTTTTCTGGTTATCTCATACATTTGTAAGAGATTCTTTTGTTCACGAATCTCTGCCAGTAGTATGGTGGTTTCCGGTGAACTGTCATTGAGGTGTTTCTTCAAGAACAATTGCTTTAACTTCGATAAATTTTTCAGTTCCGACACTATGATCTGATCGACCAACTGAATTTCGTCGGTGTCTTATGGAGATTGAGCGTATTGAAATTGTGAATACGCAACTTTCACATGAGATTGTTGAAAAAACTTTCGTTATGAACGCATCCATAATCGCTCTGAAACTTATCGTCTTCTTCATCGAAGAACTTTGTTTGACAGATGTTTGTGATTGGCGTTTCATGTTTGACTTTTGCAGATCGAATATGTAAAGCTTTGGCAAAAGTTCGAGCTAATTTAGTTTTGTTTAGGGTAAGAGTAGATTGGTTAACTGAATCATGTGAAAAGAAGAAATTGGCAATGATTATTCAGGGATTGTGATTAAGAAGAAGATTGAATATGATTATAAAAAAAGATGATGATAAAAGACTAGAACAATGATGATGATAAAGCAAAAGAAAGTTATTAAATAGGAGGCAAAGCAGAGTATGCTTTAACTCTTACATCAAGGCCTTTTGTGTGTTTATGATACTGTCTCCTTTTGCTTCAATTAGGTTATGTGGATAAGGAACAATGTTTTTTGCAGGTTTAATGGAGCAGAAGGAAGGAGGAGGGAGATGGGGAGTTGATTGTTGTTTGGGAATGTAAATGAGGGATAAAAGGTAGAAGAAAGCGTTGCAAAAATAGTCCTTAGAAGTAAAATGACAAAAATACCCTCCCATGGAAGGCACATGAGGGGGTTAACGAATTCTTTTTAACGGAAGTTAAATACAGGGACCAAAAACCCAACGAAACTAGCTCAAAAAGACACCAATCCAAAAAAATCATGGTTTGGATTAAATACAGGGACCATTTTTACAATTTTGTCAAATATTTATAAAAAGATAGAGCCAAACATGTTTTATAACATTCTATTTTGTTAGAAAAATTGATAATTAATGTTTTACATGTTTTTTCAATTTTAAACAATTTCTTAACTACAAACCCTCCTAATTTGGGAGGGAATAATTTCCTACCAACCCATACTTTTTCTCTTTTATTTTTCTTCATTTTTTCCCAAACCAAAACATACGAAAACCCTATCTTTTTGAATCCCTTCAACGTACTCAATTGAAAAAAAAAAACAAATCAATCAAAGGTAAAATCTTAATTAGCATTAGAGTTATCGATTGTACTACTTTCACTTCAACGGGTTGGTTAATTGGTTTCACCAACCCACTTCATAATCTCTCTATTTTCTCTCTCTCATTTTCTTTTGTACTATGTGTTTTAAAACTTGTACCTTAGGTTTGTATTTTTTTTTTTTAATTGAGTGGGTTGAGAAATAAGATAGGATTTTAGTATATTTTGGGTTGGAAAATATGAAGAGAAGAGACAAAAATTGATGTGACAGTGAGTTCAATGGATTGGAGGGAACGACTTCCTCCTCCCTAAGTCCTACCCCAAAACACACACCCAACTGGCTACACAATCACCCCGCTCAAATTAGGAATGTAAACCGGTCCTAAACTATATTGGATCCGCAATAACTAAAAACTAGTAAGAGTGAATTGAGAAACAAACTAAATACTACTAAGGGAGGACAAAGTCGTTCCCACTGAACCCACTGCTATATCAGTTTTTCTCTTTGATTTTTCTTTATCTTTCCGAACCTACAACACACGGAAATTCTATCTTTTTCAACCCACTCAACCCACTCAATTAAAAAAAAATACTAAACAACTAAGGTACAAGTCTTAAAACATATGGTACAAGAGAAATTGAGAGATAGAAAGTAGAGAGAGGATGAAGTGGGTTCGTGAAATCAATTAAACAATCCACCGAAGAGAGAGTGGTACCGGTGGTAACTCTATTGCTAATTAAAATTTTACCTTGATTATTTCGTATATTTTTTTTAATTGAGTGGGTTGAGAAAGATAGGATTTCCGTGTGTTGTGGGTTCGGAAAGATAAAGTAAAATCAAAGAGAAAAGCTGATGTGACAGTGGGTTCAATGGGAACGACTCCCTCCTACATAAACCTTAAACCCTAAACCATACACTAAAATATTGTAATATTAGAAATAACAAAAATTGAAAAATACAAACCAAACGAGTTATTTTTAATTGAAATTCAACTCTAACATCATGTTTTTATATTTTCATGTTGGTTATGTCAACCCTTGTGGTTAAACGGGTTGAAACTCTTACTCAAATTGTTTATTTCATGTAGGCTTCATGTGTCATGTTAGTTTTTACCATCTTTTAATAAGAATCAAAATAAAATTCAACGTCTGTCTATATAAAAAGTAAACATAGAACAAATAAGATAAGTTTTACTATTTTAATGACATCAAGATTGCAAATGCCTTTGACGATATAGTTTTTCCATAAGATATTATAAGTTGAATCTTTAACTTTAAGCATTTCATCTTGATTAGTATATCCAAAGGAAAATCCTCTTGATTCAAACATTCTACGAGATATTTGAAGACTTTCATCACCATATATAGTGAATAAAGTGTCTACCATAACCTCTATTTATGTAGTTATGCAATACACAAAATGCATGCAAAAATAAACATTTTTGACGTCTCAACTAATAGTTTAGTATTTTGAAGTGTTTTTCAACAACACCAAATGTCCTTTTTATAACATTCCAAATGGTTATATGTAAGTAGGTGGTTGGGTATGTTATATGTAAGTAGGTGGTTGGGTATGTATGGGGTGGGGATGCGGGTGAATGGGTGGGTACGGGTGTGATTATATTTTGGTATATTTTTGGAATTGAAAAAGTATGGAGAACATATGTATGTTTTTGGGTTTGCAAGATAGGGATCGAGATCTTAAGATTCCATAAAATAAAACATAATTTTAATTAATAATTTTAGAACATGAAAAATATCTCAAACACTCATTTTTTCATTTAAAAACTATATAACCTTCAAAATATTAGTCACAACTCACAACAAAAAATGATAAACTGTAAACTGATAAAGGGTAAAAGACATAAAATGATGAATTTATTTTGTTCATTTTCAAAAAAAAAAAAAAAAAAAAAAATCAAGGAAGGTGAGATTGGATCGGATCCCGATGCTACCTGCGATCCTATAGTTTTACCTGCAATCCTATCCCAATTACGATCCGTATACAATCCGAATCGTTTTTCATATTTAGGATCGTACAACCAAGATCGCGATTTTAGCAACATTAATTCGGATACTTGTATGGTGAAGGAGATTGAAGAATGTCATTAACATTCTAAACCATGCTTGCTAATATAATATATCATTTTTAAGCATTAGTGATATTTTTTAAAAATAACATTAATTTCCATTGATATCTAAGTAAATAAAAAAAAAAACAATAAAATATCATATAAAAAGTAACTTTAAC